GAGGGTTGTCCCAGCCCGTGAGACATGTATTTACTTGGCCTAATGTCCTGTCTTGTTGTGTGTTTGCGTGAGTGCACCTTTAAGTCTAACTTTTGTAACGTCTACTGCCATTGTTAACGACCAAATCAAATTTCTCCCTGCGAACCAAATCAAATTTCTCCCTGCGAGATGAATAAAGATTGTCATTGTCATTGTCATTGTCATAACTTTTCTCGCGGTAGTACATATATGTCCTGTAAATTTAGATCATGAAACATCACATCAGAACTAAATTCCAACAAGTCACTCTCTTTCAAACCTTCACAACTCACTTGCTCATAACATCCTGGAGCACCTGCTGCTCCTGTTCAGTCAAGGGGTCGTATACACACTGCAAATTCTTCTTCAGGTTCTCCAAGCTGTAGGAGGCCAAAAGAAATAAGATATAGTAGGCTATAGGAAAACAAAGAAATCGATTCCATCCAGAACTGAAAGTATAATTTTATCAATGTAACCTGTCATGAATTAGTTTTCAGAACACAAAAAACAGAATATGTGACAGAGTGTGGAAAATACAATGACATGTCTACCTGGCTGTGCTGACTAGAGTTGTTGGAATGTCCTCTTGGTCAAGAGTGAAGCGTAGGCCCAGTCGAGAGATATCAACTCCTTGCTCCTGTAAAATCACATTTTAAATCCTGATAATTTTGCCCAATACAGGAATAAAAGTTAAAATTAATTACAAATATTATTAAAAACAAATCAATACAAATGGCTGCAAAAAGAAAGTCATCTCTGTGGATTTAAATCCGCATTTTATTATTACTTCAGAAAATAGAAAACTTAGTATCGGATAGAAGAGAGATCTTCAGTGTTTCAATATATCATATCATGATAATGTCCCTTATCTCCTTAAAAAAAGTATTTTCGAAAAAAACAAATGATTTTACAAAGTCAGGAAACATGTCAGATAAACACGTGGAACCTCTTGTTGTTAACTGAGATATACAGGCAGCAGAAAGTCATATATATTTGTATTAAATACCTGAGTTAGTAAAGAAGCCTGTTAACACATAGTAGAAAAAGAGATCTCAAGTTTAAGATATCTTTTCTTTGGTGAACTGAACCTTGCACTATTCTATAGCTTCTTTTTATGAAAAACATGGTTTTAATTATTAAAAGGTATGGTAAGGTAAAAATTTTGCTTCTTTTTCGTGTTCTACTTTTTCAGAAGAAACAGACATTTCTTCAGACAGATGATGAGCAGGTGACGTTGGTAGTCTTGTGGTTAGGCTACCAAACCTGTAATCATGTGACTGCTTGTTCAGGGGTTCGAGCCCCAGTTCGGTCTGACATTGTGTCCTTGGGAAAGACGCTTGACATGAATTTCCTATTAGGCTCGGCCCTTTCGGAGATGGATGTTTAACTCAGAGGTCGCGCCTCTTACATAGTCCAATAGTGTTGATAGGGTCATTAAACCTATACCATTTCACAATTTTCTCACTACAAGAGCTGACTTGCTCCGCACTGGTCCAGTGGAAAGTGAACTTAACCATGATGCATGAATTTCAACAATAAATATAAAATGACTATATAATGGCTACAAAATATGTGGTTACTGGGGTGTGTTCTGAAGTAAGAGTAAGACACTCTATATTTAGCTTGAAACAGGGTGCTGCATTTTGATTAAATACTATAATAATTCACACTATTGACTGCTTAGTTTCCTCTACATTTTATATTATTACAGGATTTATGTGTTACAGGGAGAACAATTTTAGAAAGTTTTATTCAACCATTATTGTACTCATTTCTTATAACTTACTTATTGTGAAGTGGAGGGTAGGAAAGAAATGTGTCTACAAATTGATGTCTCATCCTCTGAGATATTGGAGAGTCAAAAAAGAAAAAACAGCTCTCTACACTAATCAATAAGGTTCAAATTCAGTGCTGGATGTCACACTTTATGAAGTGCTTTTCTAACTAAATAAGTGTGGCATCCATAAGATTGAGAGTGGTTGAGTAGTTGAGCTAAAATTTACCATGAATTAGAGGAATAATAGCTACTTTTTCACCAGGAAGAGACAGGGACATAAGCAAAATTAAACATAAGTAGAAGCAAATTATATCAGGGCATCTACTAACCACCCACTTAATATTCATTTGTTTCAGTTACACTCTAACACACAATTGTGGTAATAGTTATTTCATACTGGACAAAATGGCAAAACAGACAGACTAAAACAACAGGGGGATAGAAAGCGGGTCTGAAAAAGGAATAGAAGCCAGACTGCTGGGGCTATAGATGACAACATTGACAACATTCTGATGATAACAAAGGCTCCGCTCGTCAATTTATAACTCTTATATCTGCATTTAAAAAAATCTCACAAATAATTATTACTGTCACTTCACCTTGCAGTAGCTGGCAGCATTAGCGCAGGCTTCTTTGATGTGAGGTTTAGCTGGGTGCCACTGTGGTGGTCCGCGGGAAGTGAGTAGACCCATGCTGATGGGCGATGCATTCACCACACCCACTCCTTTATCCTGTATTAAGGACACAATAGATAGTGCTAAAGCTCTCAAAGTTATGATGTGCCAGTGCGAAAGGAAACGGAGTCACATTGAACATCCCAAAAGCAGATCCAGACCCTATAACTCTATAGAATTTGAATACGTTGGCACAAAAAAATATCAGCTGAACATTTGTTTTTTTGTGCAACTTTTGGGAACAGCAAGCATGCATCTTTAAGTTTGATGGAACACTGAAAAAGAAGCAGAGAGTAAGAATCTCAAAGAGAATGCTGTATTAAAAATGTATCACACAACACCCTTCTAAACAAAAAGGTCATATAAGTGCCGAGGATTAGAGGTGTTACGAAAGAGAGACAAACACAAAAAAGAAGTAGAGATTAGAGAGATAGATGTATGACAGAAAATAAGGAGCAAAACCACACCAGAGCAGCCATAACCCACTGGGGGATTAACTGAGCCCTGCAAAGTGAACAAAGAATCAGAAGCCCATATCAGCTATACGATAACAGAGTTCAATTGTCCTGAGGTAAGACAAACCTTAAAATAAGGTAGCCAGTCCTTGAGTGAGTTGTCATTCATGGATCCTCGACAGTAGGTCAGGATGGCATCAATTTTTACAGAACTCCTTTCAAGAACAGTCCTGATTAAGAACAGAAGTTAATGGTATCATGTGATTATGAGGCATTTTGACCAACAAGGACAAATTAAATTGAAAAAAAAACACACGATGTGTGTCTTAAAAAAAAGAGACTTATACTTTGCATACAAAAGAGAACGTTCGATTGAATCATGTGGAGGTGAAATTGTTTAGTTATAGAGAGTGTTTTACAGCACTTGCAAAACAATAAGGCCATACAATGTATATATAAGTGCCGAAGATTAGAGGTGTTATGAGAGAGTAACAAACACAAAAAGAAGGAGAGGAGATAAAGACGACAGATGTTGGATAGGAAAGAAGAAGCATACCACACCCGAGCACCCGCCAACCACCCACGGAGCTGAAATTGAGTATTGGTCGATGAGTCAGTAATGGTACAAATTTTAATAACTTGTTGTCTAGTGAAAAAGCTCACATGCAATCACAATCTCTCAGTAGATCTCTGCAACCGCTCACTGGTATTGCAATACGTGCAATCGCACCAGTTCCCCTACATCATCGTTAATTTTCTCTGACATAATCTTATCGTTTTTCCCGCTATTTTATGACTGTAGGAAAAAGGCCGCATAAGAGATGGCTCCCTGTCTGACAACACAGAGCACTGCCCCACGTTTTTGTGTTCGTTCTTGTGTGTGTAAGTGTTTTACAGCGCTCGCAACTGCATATTAAGGCTACATGGGAGCGCAGGACACATTGAACATTTTCAATTTGGTAGGAAGTTTGAATTTTGACCCGGTGGCGGCCGAAGCCTACTCTTATCGATTATAGAACCACCAAGGGATCTGACGTGCGCAACTTGCACACATCCGAGATTTTTCGCCCTTATCCGAGAAGACTAGGCGTTTGATATTTCCTACTGACTATAAGATCAAGAGTGTGGCTGAAAGACTGCAGTGAGAAGGAGTCAAGGAGTAGCAGTAGAAAAGCTGCAGAAAGAGTCAGGAGCCCACAGGAGGGGGCGAGGTGGAGGGGGCAAAGTGGAGGGGGGGGGCAGAAAGTGAAGACGAAAGAAGAGGACAAAACATGACTCTAGAGAGCAGTAAAGGAGGTGAAAGGAGACATTTTTAGAGACAATTTTTTCCTGTCAATGTAAAGTTTCGAACCCGGGACCAGTTGAAAGAGAGGTGAACACCGTAACCTCTAGACCTCGAGAGCCCCCCAGCTCCTCCACGTTTGACAAGTTTTTCCAGCGGGATCAGGAGTACACGTATTGTTAATTAACCAAGTTGGCATCAGGCTGGAATGTCCATTATAAATGACGACACTGGTTCGAATGACCAATGGTAAGTTTTTCCCCAGGAGTTGTTGTGATTAGGAAGAGTCTTAAAGTGTCGCCCCGCACCTCGGCATTGTTCTAAAAATAGCTGACGGCCATGCTGTTGTTGTTGTTGATGTCGTTGTTGTTGCCGAAGCTGTTGTTGTTTATTAATTCAGTACCACTTAAGCTCAACATGTACTTCAGCCCAGAATCATACAACACACTGTATATGGCCTTCAGATAGACTGTTTCGTAGTTTGGAAGGCGGCGAGAATCTGCCTGAGGTGAAATTCCAGGAAGGATTAGCAAAAAAATTACGGACCCTTCTTAGATTCAAACAATAGCAACAGCAACTACAGCAACAACAAAGTTGATAGGGAGAAGTTTTTGTTCACACGTCTTTTTTGTGTAAGTGTTTTACTGCGCTCGCAATTGCATATTAAGGCTATTGGGGGCGCAGGACACATTAAACAGTTTCAATTTGGTAGGAAGTTTGAATTTTGACCCGGCGGCGGTCGAAGCCTACTCTTATCGATTTTAGAACTACCAAGGGATCTGTGACGAGCGCAACTTGCACACCTCCGAGATTGTTTGCCCTTATCCGAGAAGACTAGATGTTTGATATTTCCTACCATAAGATCAAGAGTGTGGCTGAAAGACTGCAGTAAGAGTCAAGGAGTAGCAGTAGAAAGGCTGCAGAAAGAGTCAGGAGCCCAGAGGAGGGGGGCAAAGATGAAATTCCAGGAAGGATAAGCAAACCAATTACGGACCCTTCTTGGATTCGAACAATAGCAACAGCAAGTATAGCAACAACAAAGTTAATACGTAGGTCTATCATCGATATATAGACCTGCTGACGTCTTTTGATCTAGTGGCGTGTACGTTTATTGTCTGTCAACAGTGCCTCGTTACCCACAATTGCCCAACAAGAAGATACCTACGTGCATGGCATCGATCCAGGAGCGAAATATTATACGTTATGGAGGGTCTCATTATCTGAAATCATGTGCCAGCCGCAAAGTAACAGATTCAATAAAAAAAATTAATCAAGTGGCGTTTGGCATATTATTGTTCACCTGTGTATAGAAAATATTTACCCCCTACGGACGTAGAGTGTATGCACATAGAAAACAAAGGCGTGAATTTTGAAAATACATGCATGTCAAGTTATCACGCCTGGTTTGTCTGAGAACGTATTTGACGTCACACCCGACACAAATATATCATTTTGAAAGCGGAGCACTCGGCCGAGTGGTTAGAGCAGGAAGAAAGGAGGACGGAAGGCAGAGATAGTACACTAGAATAAATGCAATCTAATGCTGAACAAAGACACACTGTTTTATCAGTTTTAGCGTGACTTGCTGGTGTATAGTGGGAGTATTAAAAATAATTAATACCATTGGACAGGACAAATGGGTAAAACGCGTGCGCGCGCCGTGTGTGTGTGTGTGTGTGTGTGTGTGTGTGTGTGTGTGTGTGTGTGTGTGTGTGTGTGTGTGTGTGTGTGTGTGTGTGTGTGTGTGTGTGTGTGTGTGTGTGTGTGTGTGTGCAGGAGGGGGGGATGAGTTGTGTTGGACTTCAATCAGATCCAGAATAATTTTTTTTATATCCTTTGCTGGCACCATGAAGATGTAAAAAGTAGATCTTTTCTATCCGGCTGAAAAAATCATGTTCGCACGAATAAATTTGATGAAGCCCACACACGATCAAATAGTTTGACGGTTTGGCAAAAAAAATACCAACTAAAAACAGATCCGTCAAATATTTGACATCAAATTATTTTGACCATCAAACACACCCATACACGATCAAAAATATATTTAAAAAATTTGTGTCAAACATATTTGATCAAACCATCAAACAAATTTGAGCGTGTAAGGGGCACTTAACAATAAAAAGAAGTAGAAGCTCAGACCACACTGCATTGCATTAGGCCTATACCGCACCTAGACAAATCTTAGACCATTTAGTCCGTTTTGTCGCAGAATTTAACTTCCATTTGAGCCGTACCGCACTAAGACTCAAGCGTCTTACGACTTTGGTATTAACGATTCATTTCGAGCATGGAATTGACAGAGATAGCATGTGTATGTGCTCAAATGAAACATAAAACGAAAGACACATAAAGAAAAAAATGATTTTGGATTGATCCATTTACCAGTCAGCGATTACAAGTACTGAAAATTAATGTCTCAATCCAATTGACATCAACATCCATGATTAATTACAAAATTTGCTGATGGTCCTTGCTCGAGGTGCACATAATGTAGTTCGGCGTAAAAAATGATCAGATGCATGTATAGGTGTTGGTGAAAGGAACTCGGCGTGTCATCAAAACACGACGGACGTATGTATGAGTACGTGTATGGAACTCGGCGTGTCGTCACAATTTCAGGGCAGTTTTTTTTTATCTTAGTGCGGTAGACTGCTCTATTCTCTTACTGGCTTAAACCAGTCTTTAGTCAAGACTTGTCGTACTCGGTTTGTGGCCGGTCACAACTTTTCACGACTAAAATGTTGGGTCTAAGTTGTGCGGTAGGGTTTGTATTACTCCATTGTTCACAAATCCCTAAAACACCGGCTTTAGCCGGTCTAAAGACAGATTTGTCTAGGTGCGATATTGGCCTTAGCAGACAACAAGTTCAAAAGACAAGCAGTCGGTTGAACCTAATGAAACGATTTACTGAGAGGTACAGAAAACTTGCTTCACACTTAGTGTCATGTATAATATATTATATCTCTAAGTTATGCGTATTTTTACTTTAAGAAGCTCTTTTATTCCTTTATTTGAATCAGAATTGGATCATACCGAGCACACCCCTGGAAAATAAATTAATTTCAAAATAAAAGAAGATAAATGGAAACGTTCATCAAGATCATATTGCAAGACGAACAGATCTGCAACGCATTATTCCATTTAAACTAGATTAAACCTCTAAATTACAAGGCATTGCCCATATTTTGGATGAAATATTCAAGGAAACTGGACGGAACACTTCACGCGTTCCCCGAACAATTGGTACACACTTGTTCAATATTTTCAGAAGGTGGAAAAGAGACAAAGAAAACAATTTAAAAATATAGCTGACCTTGTTTTGCTTTTGTTATGCCAAACCAACCCAACCCTGGTGAGGCCCTCGAAAGACCAGAAAATAATATGACACATACACACACACACATACAAGCACACACACACACACACACAAACACACACACAAACACATACACACACACACACACACATACACACACACAAATATCTTTTCCTTCCCAAGAGAAACCTAAAAAAAATGAAAGTTTTAAAAAAGTCTTTGACATGACCCATTTCATACAGTTTGATAGAAAATTGCAGTCATAAGAAAGTGCTTAAAACAGAATGTATTCCCTTCGGGCGTAACAACTTTCCATACTTGTCTTTGGCACGTGCAGAAACTACGAGCACATGTAATTCCATGATATCCAATCTCAGATTTCTTTTAAAATGGCCGCCACCCCCCACCCCTTTTATATATATCAAATCATGTGGCAATTTAACACAACGAGATCCTTTGAAGTAATAAGTCGCGTGTTTTGCTCTCTCTCTCTCTCTCTCTCTCTCTCTCTCTCTCTCTCTCTCTCTGTCTGTCTGTCTGTCTGTCTCTCTCTTTGTCTCTCTGTGTCTCTCTCTCTCTCTCTCAACGTAAAGTAGAGTGTAAGAATCCCGTCAGGGTTCGATGTTGTGTCCTTGGGAAAAGCACTTTACATGTACTTTCCTCACTCCACCCAAGTGGGAATTGGTACTTGGCTGTAAATAACTTGAGATTTTGTCAGTTTGTTAATGTTTTAGCTCGTGTAATCCGCAGCTCGCACTGCATGCTCCCCCGGGAAGCCGCGAATGTTTCGGAGTGTTCTTGGGTCTTGTTTGCATAAAGAGTAGCCCATCGACACAATAATGGCCATTTAGTGCTAGGAAAACTTAAGGTAGACAAACCATCATCGACCATTCACAATTTATTTATAGAGGCACCAGCCATACAGACAGACCAAAAAACAGAGGAAAAGTAAAGAAGAAAAACCTACCGGAAAAACCCTCCAACTAGAACCATCCATGTTGTAGTGTCTGCTGGAGTAATATTATAGCTGTAAAGCGCAAAGAGCATGTTGTAGAGAGTGACGATGCCGTGCATAAATGCAATTCTTCGCCTTCTTCTTCTTCTTCATCTTCTTCTCCTTCTCCTTCTCCTTCTCCTTCTTCTTTTTCTTCTTCTAATTTTAAGGTAAGTTTGTAATTTCAGGTCAAGGTATCCTCAGGCATGCGAACGAGCTCCACATTGATTCAGTAACACAAACTTGTCTAGTCTGAAAGCACGCACTAACATGCATGAACACAGTGGACACGTAAAGAACACAACTGGTTCTGACAACAACAGTAGTTTCCAGGTTTGAAAATCGTGTCAAAATCTAGATTGTTCAGGGAGATTTCAAAGCTTGTTATCCTGTCTTCACAAAGAAAGATGTTAACGAGGATGTCCAGCCTGATTGGGTTGAAAAAGACGTAAATATATCCTAAATCACACTGAAGAGGTGAGCTGGAAAATCGAATGCAGTTAATCATAAATCAAAGCTCGTTACCTGTATGATATCCACATAGTCTACATTAAGCCTGGCCAAACTTTCGTCCACACTTCGCAGCGTACGCTCTGCACTGAAATCAAACATTTTGTCCACTTCAGGCAGATATCTGCCAACTTTGGTGGCCAAGTAGTAGCTAGAACGGGGTATAGACGGCAGGTTCTGGAGGGGAGAACAAAAGAAATAAAACATAAAGAATCAACAGCTGTAACCAGCCCATGAAACTGTTTTCGTTTCTACCTAAATTGCCATAATCGTCTCCCTATCTGTCAATCACTTTTCTAGTGATGTATTTAACTTTTTGTCTAGCTCCCCGTATCACTCAAAATAGTCAATACATTATTACAGTGGCGGGGCGCCATTGGTGCAATTGGTGCAAGCACTCCACCTAACCCAGGCTTTGACCCCCCCTCCTTTTCTAATTGTTCTAAACCAGTCAGTACTCTAGCTCTAGCTCTAGATCTACATCTACATTAGGCCTACTGCATCCTTGTGATCCGTCACCCGCCAGCTGCGCGAGTGAAGAGACCGACTAGACGGCGAGGATGGTTTATGCTCGTCGAACCGCTTGCGGTAGTGTCTGCTGGGAGCAAGCAAATCTTTGCACCAGTTATTTTTGTCACTGTAGAGAAATCTAGACATTGTTCTTCCCGCACAAGAAGAAAGGAGCATGAAACTGCTCTTCACAGCACCAATTTGGTGCAAGCTACAAATTTGATCCAAGTTTCCACCAGCCTATCTACTACACTAGAAGAGTCTACGGTAACTCAGTGAAGAATGGGTATCGAAACTGCTGTCTCCCTCTATTGTGTATTAAGTCCTGGTACTGCACGAAGTAAATAGAAATCTTTAAATCTTCTCAGATTGTGAGCATAGTAAGTTGTTAGTATTGTTTCACTTTATTGCAACTTTTATGCGGTTTCATCTAGAAACAGTTGTAAATATCGATAGATGAAAATTACGGGATATCCTGCAGATTCTAATGGACTTTCTCTAGAAACCTTAATAGTAGCTACTAAGCCTTTTGTCCATTTGTTCACTTTCCAATTATGCACCACCTTGTCTGCAATCCACGCGACGCTACTGTTATTATATATATATCAATAATCTAGCCATCGATCTTTGTGTCCCTTTGATTGTCAATACATCTCGTATAGACCTTCCTATTTACCCTCAAAGTCCGTAACATCACAAGAAGATATTGGCAGAGAAATGAAAAAGTAAGAACAACTACTGGCACGGAGTCCTGCCTGCATAAAATTTCATAGAAAAAAAGAGAATAAACAGGTTTCGTCAACTGTTACGAATGTCACTCAGCCAGCCAGCATCAAAAGTCTATAACACCAAATGTTTTGGATTTAAAGGAAGAGGTAGGCCACGCAAAAGATGGATTGAGGAAGTCAAGAAAACTCTGAGACACTATATCATCTTAATTGAAAGAGCTGCAGAGTTGGCTTACCATTGAAAACTGCATCTTCAATCGACGCTTAACGGAGTATGAAAAAAGTAAAAGTAAGAATTACCCCTTTCTCTCCATTTATAAGTCAAAGTATCTATTATTCTATGCACACACAAATCCATCCTTGCAGTCTCCAACCATCCACCCACCCACCCCCGTTTAGTACTTTTATTTCATCCTCTGTTGTCGTTTAGAGTCGATGGGGCCCGTTCAGTAGGTGTCATATTAATATTCTTCCATAACATGTTTCTTACTTTGCCGAGCACAGTCTCCGACTTGCCATGTCCATACCAAGGTGCTGTGTCCACGTAGTTGATCCCAGACTTGATGGCGTGCGTGAGCACTTGTGCTGACTCAGCATCATCCGTGGCTCGGAACACACTGCCCAGAGAACTGGCACCTGAAAGTAGAGGGCACCAAAATGTCTTTTACATACACTGGGTTATTTGAGAGAGAGAGAGAGAGAGAGAGAGAGAGAGAGAGAGAGAGAGAGAGAGAG